GGGACTGGGAATCGGAAAACGGAAAAGATCTTTTTAAAGGGACTGGCAAGTCAAAATCAAAGCTGAAAACCTAAAAAAAATTACGTGGTATTTTTGAAAGTATACGAGCAATCGATTACGCAATTAAAACGTTTCCAAATCATACGACGCTACAAAAAATGCCGTAAAGATTCCTAGTATTTTTACAAAATATAAAAAATTAAAACTATATATTTCGGAAAATCGATTACGCCATGAAATTAGGTCTTTCGTGAGCCGGAACAGTAGAAAAGCTACGCTAAACCCAAAAAAGATACGACCGTCGCTAGTCAAAAAAACTACCGAAACTTTCGTAACATTTTTCGACTTATACCATCAAGCCAGTGCGCTATGAAATGGCAGTAAACGAATACGTGATGCTACCTAATACTACGCAACGCTAGGCACGCGCTCGACCAACCCCGGCACGCAGCCTTCGCTAGAAATCACAGGAGACACTGTTGCGGATGTCCGCGTCCGCGTGCGCGCCGCGGAATAGCGGCTCGACGGGGCACGGGTATACGGTACCGGACTGCGCCGCCGCGCACGCGTGCTGATGTGCTGCTACAGCGGCCGCCGTCACGGCGTGCCGATGGAGGGAGCCGCCGCGAAGCAGGCGCGCCCCTGCGGCGGAACCGGAAGTTCCGGCGATTGATGCGCCGGGCGGGGCGTCGGGGGCGTCGCTGCTGGTGGACGGCTCGACGAGGTGGAGGGCGGTCATCGAGTACGCGCCGGCGCCGCACTGCGCGGCGACGAAGCCGAGCGTCGCCGCCGAGGCGTCACGCACATCTACAAGTGAGTGACCGTAGTACGTACGTAGTGTCACACGGATCGTACGGGTGTCTTAATAGGGTTAGTGCGGAAACGGGGGTCGTGGTTTCTGGGTGTCGGAAAGTGGGGTAAGCTATTTTTGGGCTGGATTTTGCGTCATTACAGGACCATTGAAGCAGAATCCATGGCCATAGATTCAAGCCCAAAAATAGCGTGAGAAGATGCTGAGTTTTGGCGCTTTCAGCCGAAAATAGAGTTTTTAGGGTGCAGGAAACCGGGTGGCGACGATGGATCGAGGGCGGAACAATTTTTTCATTTTGGAACTTCATATTTTTATAAAACGTTCAACAACAGCCAAAATCACTAACTCCAAAATCGCTAATTGATATAATTTTCAATATTTTGGAGTGATTTTCGAAATTTTCGAGCTTCCAAAGCGGCTAGAAGCTGCTAAACTCGATTAAAATTTTCGGAGTAATTAACCAAAAACAATTAGCTTGTTCATCTACAGGCTATGAAGGCTCAAATGTCATTAAAAAGTTTAGAAATAATTTCAGCCACTATGAAAGGATTGAACTTTAGACTTTTAGATAAATTGTCCAGAGAATTTTAAACACACAATTTAAATCTTCAACGCTTCATTACTTTTAAAAATCAATTTAAAACTCTAAAAGCTTAAAGATTTCATCCGAATTTTTCGCCGACCCCCACCAAAATTGCCGTCCCCATGAAAGGCGACGCCATAGCTCACGCCCCTAACTCCTATTCAGCAAAAACCGTTCCGGGTTCACATAACGGGCTGGCCGGGCGGGCCGGGAGGTGGCCAGCCCGGCATCGCCATCTCCCCGTCGTCGTCGTCACCCCTCCCGTCTACCAGCTTACTCTATTTGCGCACAGTTTCACAGGTTTCAGGCAAAAGTATAGGGGACCGGTGGGGGAGGGCGTTCAGGGGGACGAAACGGAAAATTGAGGGACAGGGATGGGGGTCTTTGGGTATATTTGGGTATGGTGGTGCGGTGGTGGAAAATAAAAAAAGGGGATGCACAAACACGATAAAACGGGCAGCACGGCGAAATGGGAAAAACGTAAGAAAATGAGGAAAAAAATGGAAAATAAAGGATAGGGAAACGTGTTAAAGGGCTATGGAAGGCTAGCGCGTTCGATCAGGTAGGGCAAATTTTTCAGAAAATGCTAAAACCGATCAAATTCAAATTTTAAGTTTATTTGTGCATCATGAAAAGACCTTCTTGACATCATGAAAAGATGCCAAAAAGCTTTAAAAACTTGTCAAATTGCAGAGTCGAAATTTCTTAGATTTTTCGAATTTTCCTAAGCTTATTTTCCGCAAAGAATCTCTGCTAGCTCGCCACAGGTTTAGCCAAAATAGGGCTAGCAGAGATCGGCTTCTTAACGTTTTTAAACCAGTATATCTAACTAGATTTAAATCTTTCATTATGACGCCTAGCATCCGTAATCGCTCATTTTCGTCAAAACTGGCTCAAACGTGCCTCGGAAAGCTTCCCCTTAATCGGCTTCTGCTTTGTATGCAGAAATATTTTTTCCACCTTCCAAAGCCCTACCAATCGATTTCCAGCCTTCCAAGCACCTCCAAAACTCAAAAAAAACGCACGTCTAGGCGGAAAATTTGATAGTGGTCGGGCACAACACGGTGAATAAAAGAAAAATTCGGAAAAAGAAAAAGACAGAAAATATCGCTAAATCAAAACGAAATACAGTGTATCTCTCCCCATCCACAGGCCACAAGAGTCCAGGCGGGCGGCCATGCGGCGCGCAACCGTGCGTGTTGTATTTGGTGGGTGGAATGGGGATGCAGGGAGGGGAGCCCACGATGAGCTCGCCAAGTTCACCACCCGCTCAGTGCAACGAGCCCATGGCGGCGGCGCGGTAGGCGCCGCTGACGATATCCGGCGCGTACTGGCCTTCGCCAACTAAAATTGAACAAGCCCGGTAACGATCACGACGAGTGTTTTCGGGAGGAGGGAGGAGAGTTAGCGGCGAGGCGGGGGTGTGATATCCCGGCGTCAGCAAGCAGGTCGGTTAGTCGGGAGGAGGAGGAAATAATATAGCAAGGTATGCATGCTAAAGACGGCCCAAAAATTTGATTTTTTAAAGGGACTGGCAAGGCATGACTAGGGATTCCCCATAGATTTTTCCGCGTCCGCAACACGCAACGCACGCTTAACGCCGCCAGCGCAAATTTCCATTACCTTGCGTTATTTAGGAGGTTCAATTTTCGGAAGAATTCAAAATTCAGGAGGTATAGATAGTTTTTCATTGCGTAATCGATTAAACCCGTACGCGTTGCGTGTCGCGGACCCGGCAAAATCCAACGGAAATCCATAGCCAGCCTTTGCAATCCCTTTAAATTCAAAAAACTTCGTGGACCACCTTCTTCAAACGCAAAAATCGGACAAAACACAGTGACGGAGACATGTTAGACGTGACGGGGAACGGTAAGTTACGGTAAGGACAGTGTACTATAGCAGCAACATGAGACGTCGATAGTAGGGCAGCGTAGTACAATAGTAAAGCCACCCAAAAACTGGTGTCCAGCATAGAAATCTCAGCCGGTTAGTCCAGAAAATAGAGTCCAAAAGAAGGGCACGCGTGTGTGTGAAAAATCGGCGGAATCGAGGGTAACTGTAGGTTTTTCGGGTATTTAAAAATGTTTAAACATCGCTTTTGGCTTCCAGAAACCAGTATCCAATTTAAAAATTCCCCGCAATTCCACTTTTCAAAAAACCCTCGAAAAATCGTGTATAGCCCGGGGGTTAATTCGAAGAAAAGGAAAATGAAAAGCTTAAAAAAGTCAAAAAAATATAGAAAAGAGAGTGAGGCGCAAACTGCCATGGAAAGCCGTGTCGGGCGATCCAGAAGTTGTAGCGTTACAAAAGTCCAGCCGCTCGATTGTGTCGTTAGCAGCGGAACGTTGTGGCGTAGCGTTGCGTACTCTAGGGTAGCGCAGCGTACTTCTGCTATTGCTGCGTGCTAGTCCGGCTAGTCAGGCAGCCATATTCGTAGCTTCGTTAGTATTGCTCAGCTCGGTGTAGTTGCACAGTCAAGTTTTTAGCCGAGCATCCAGTTCAAGGCGTTCAGCAGCGGTTTCACAGTGCTCGTGTCGTTGTGTATCAATATGTCACAGAAAGGGGTAGTAGTAGGGTGGGTTTTAAACTCCAGGGGAAGGGTTGAGAAATTGGCACGCACACGCACGCACGCTCAGAGAATTAATTATTGCTTGCGTAGATTTTTGTGTTGATTTTTGATAATTTTGCTTGCCCAAGAGGGGGAAGAGGTGCGCACGATGGTAAGTGGGGGGATAAGGAGGGAACGCTGTGTGTTGTGTTGTGATCAAGGGGGTAGTGTGAGTAGCGCTAAAATATTTTTATACGGAATTTTTGAGAAGCAGGGATGGTCCTTTACAAGGTAAAAAGTTTCCCGACTGATCTCTGCTAGCCTGCCCCTTCCATTCCCAAATAATCTCTGCTAGCCTGCCCCTCCCATTCCCAAATGATCTCTGCTAGCCTGCCCCTTCCATTCCCAAATGATCTCTGCTAGCCTGCCCCTTCCATTCCCAAACGATCGCTGTTAGCCTACCTCTAGCTAAAAAAATCCACAGACCATCCCCACTTCCAGGGCCCTTTAAAACCCCCAAAAAAATCCAATACCTTTCCCGACCCAAATTGCCAAGCCGAAAAAGCTCCAGACGGGTTAGATTAGGGGGTGGTGAAGCATTGTTTCGCAACATTGCCGGGAGTTATCCACGAAGCTCTACCATGCCGATTTCGATAGGTAAGTGTTAAAATACAGTAATCTACTCTAGTAGTAACGGATGGGATAGTTTGATAGTCGGGGTGGTTGCAAAAGAATTCCAAAAAAAAACAGCTCTACTGCTTTCTAATCCATTCCAACCCGAAAAATCCCACCCAAAAAACCGGTGCTTTTGCAATATCGGGGGAGGCGGCTAATTTTTGTTTCCGGCGTATGAAAAGTATTATCATCCGTTTGTGACAAAAGTTAGCGATATTTTAACTGAAAAATTACATAAAACTCGTTTAAAATGTTAAAAATTCATTTGGTCGAACCGGCCATTTACGGTCGGAAAATCCATATTTTCGTATATCTTTTTTCTAAAAGAGTTTGGAAGATGTTTTCCGTTAAATAGACACAAATTATTTTATTTTCACTAGAAAAATTTTTTCAAAAAGACAAATACCCCCCTGATATTGCAAAAGAACCCGCAAAAACCCAAAAAGCCAAAAGGGAAAACCGAAAGGCATCGAAATCAACCGGCTGCTACATTTGAGGTGCCCGGGGGTGGGTGTGAAAATCCAAGAAAAAAAAACGCCAAAAACACCACTTACCCGACGGATACTGGAAGGTGAACACCAGGCGGCGTTTTGGTCGTAGCGCAGCGTGCGGCCCGTTATCCGCGCGTAGAACTCGTAGCATTCCCTGGAAAATTCATTTAACCTAACTTAATTTAACGTTTTCATGTTTAATTCTACAATTTTTAAGCCAATTTATACCTGGGGAATAACGTCGTGTGCCCGAACGACTTGACGATGTTGGAGACGACCTGGCTGGCGAGCTTGAACCGCTCGACGTCTTCCACTTTGACCTAAAAAAAGCAAAAATCAAGTTACAAAATCTAGGGTACCTTTTGGCCCTCGTGGATGCAGGAGTGGAAGAGGGAGGGCGCGACGGAGATGCCGATCGCTTCGGGGGTCATCTGAAAATAGAAATTACACCTTTCCTAGATTTTTGGTGAGTAAACTGCCAAATTTTCAGGCCAGAAATTGCACGGATAGCATTTTTCAAAAATCCTAAATTTTATCGAACCAATGCCACGAAACTTCCCATGTTTTTACAAAATTTTTAACAATTCTCAGCCTCTCATTTTTTTACATTCCAGAATCGATCGACATTTTGGACAAAAAAAAACGCGCTAAATATAATTTCCCATGGAAAACACGCCAATTCCGACTAAAAACCGAATCACTAAATCATTTTCCTAGCGGTCTTTAAATAATTTTTAACGCTTCTTGGCCTGGTACTTTGGCTTATATTCGGCAGATCGATAAAATTTTAGGTAAAACATCGCGCTAAAATCTCGGCAGTACGACAAGAATTCAGCCATACCAGCGGCGTTAAAAATCCAATTAAAAATTACTAGAAAATCGTTGCCATATTTTTATAAGATTTGTAACGGTTTGCGATCTCCTTGGGTTTATATCAGTGTTCGGAAAGTGGTCGTTGAGACGTCACTAGGACCTCCGGGGTCCCTGTACCAAGAAATGGACCTCCGTCCGGCCCGGAGGGCCGAAAAATTTTACCTGATATATAGGGTCTAAAAAATCTATTTTCAGGATGAAGCCAGCGTCATCGGCAAGAAGGAATCTACCACGTGAAGCTGACAAACCCTCCAGCTTGGATAAACCAATAAATATATGAAGATTCGCATTTATTTGAATAAATATGTACTAAACCTACTATATGACCAAACAAAGCAGTCAGTAAAGCAAGCAGTGTCAGCATGATCAATCAACAAGCCAGAGGAAGAGAAAGCTAGAGAGAGAGAGAGAGAGAGAGAGAGAGAGAGAGAGAGAGAGAGAGTAAGAGTGAGAGAGGCGGAGAGAGAGAGACAGAGAGAGACAGATAGGGAGCGAGAAAGACGGTTTTTGTGCAGTTTTTCGCGTTTTACTCCTAAATCCCGTTGCCGGTTTAAAAAACATTGTATTAGAGAAATGTGCGCCTAACACGTCTGTATCAGAATCCGAAAAAATGGAGGTGGGTCATCCGACTCGATTTCGAGCGACGAGCAATTTTCCGAAAAAAAACCACTTTTTCCCAGTTTTTCGCCTTTTTCTTCTAAATCCCTTCGCCCGCTTCAAAAGCAATTTATTACAAAAATGTGTGCCAAACCCTTCTACATTATAATCCGTAAAAAAGGAGGTGGGTCATCGGACTCGTTTTCGAGATCCTAGGACCTCCGTGTTCAGAAATAGTCAATTTTGCAGTTTTTCCCCTCTAACTTTTTTTACTGCCACTATTAGGTTTTAAAATCTATTACCGAAATGTAGAGCAGAAAATTCTGCGTCGAATGATATCCTGGACGTTAAAATTAAACCCAAATTTAAAGTGGTTCCAGGACCTCCAAGGTGACGACGTCTGAAAATCGCTCCGCGACGCAACCTTTGCCTACGTTTTTCCACACCGCATATCTCAGCCGTCATTCTACCGTTTCTCAAAATTTTTCCACCAGTCTGTAGCCCGCAGTCTAGTCTACAACTCTTCTATACATTGCATCCCTCTATCACCTTTCCTTCAGGTCAAAAAATCGAAAAAACCGCGCCGAGGTTATGTTTTGGGCCCTTTTTTCACCCCAAATTTGGCCTGTTTTTCCGCACCTTTTCCCCAATTTCTCTGCCCTCCCAAGAGCTAGCAAGATGATCGACCCCTCATTTCATAGCAAAACCCTTTCTCTTTCTGCTCACCAAATATGAAATCGTCCCATACTCCGCTTCATGCCTAAATCCGGTCCCGTTTAGGTGATGTCGCCGATCGCTGCACATCAATCATGGCCCTTTCTCCCTTTCCCTTCCTTCCAAATGGCCCTATACGTTCTCCCCTTCCATCTACCAGTCACTTCTCTCTTTTCTAGCGCTTTTTCTTTCTCATTTTTAGCCTTTTACTTGCTTTTCCCTCAGACTTCACTCTAGTCGCGCGCCTGTCTGACCCCCCTTATTTTCGCCCTCATTTCCGCCGATTTTCCCTTTTTTTAGGACCTCCGGACCCTTTTCCCCTTTAGGACCTCCGGACCCCAGCCCGCGACATCTGGTTACCGAACACTGGTTTATATTCGATAAAATCGAAAAAAATTTTAGTGCCAA